AATCAACTAGGAAAGACATAGGTCCAGGACACTGGTGACAGAGCTTACAACAGTAAGGACTCTGTTCTCAGAACTGATGGGCTTTTCCCAGATAATCAAGCTAAGATACACCTCAATCATTTACATAGGACCTTATATAAGTCAGTTACATAAGATCTGCCTAGCTCATATCCAACTTAGAGCAAAGCCAAGTGACTTTATTTCACAGATGCCTAGAATAGTCCTCACAGCAGCCCTACAAGAGCTTCCTCAGAAGGAACTTAGTTACTCATAAGAGGGCTTCTGCCTAACCACCTGTAGACCTACTAAGGACAGAGAAGTAAGCTTGCTCACTCTTATTGTCACAAAATAAGTCATAATAAAGAATTTTACCTATGCCTGGTTAGCATTATTGTTTATCTTTCTCTGGTGATTCTTTAGGTATCCTTCTGGTGCTAGTTGCACCAATTCCTTGATAGGGAAAAACTGTTCATAGTCACTTATGCCTTAGTTCACCATCCAATTGGACTGTTGCAGTGGTGGTGTTCTTGAAGATCAATTGGAAACTCTACCTGTTCCAAAATGCAGTGACACACACACATAATATTGGACTCACAATAAAACACCCATGTCACACCGGTGCTATGTGAATTGGCTTGTAGTGGGCAGTTCAATTACTTGTGGGACTGCATTTACCAGATAGTTCTGTCTATCTACTAGATTTGGCAGGGTGCACATGTTCTTGGTCAACCAACAAAGCAGTGTCATTTTATAGGACCCGGAGGTGTGCCATCTCTGTAATTAAACCTATGGATCAGCCTCCTCCCGGACTCAACCTTTGTTGTGAGATGGGCGGCAAACAAATTTAATAAATAAATGAACAAATATTAGTCTTTTGGGAGGCGGCTATAGGTTTGGATGCTAATGGAGCTAATTTAATTTTTAGGGGCCTCCACCCCAAATTTTAAAATTGGATTTGCATAAATTGTTTTATTTTTGTTCATTGCCCAGAGTTCCTTGGGTAGATAGAAGCCTTGAATTTGAAATATGGATTAATGGAGAGGGAGAATTTAATGTGCTAAATTCTGATTTGTATTTTCAGTTAAGGAATATGAAAGATTTTTTCCCCAGCAACTTTATGCTGCTCATGATAAGAAAAGACATTACTTGCAACTGTGAAATCCTAGTTTTTGCTTTGTATGCCTAAATGATCACAGCAAGCAGTTCCTTATTTTTACTCTGTAGAGGAGAATGGTCTTCCAGTCCTGCATTTACCAGATAGAAGGCTTACCTTCTTGCAGAGGCTAGTACTAACCAACTAACTTCTGTAAAAGTAAGCAGGATAGTCCACAATGGGGAAAAAGGAATCACATTCTCCCTCATATAGTAACTTTAAAAAAAATACTAATATATAATTCATTCACTTCCAAATGGTTCTGGGCAGTTTTCAATGTAAATTACAGTGTCCACTGCAGATAGAAAGGTATATTGTTTTAGTAAATGTTGTTTGTTTTTAGCATGAATAATGATAAGTATGTATAAGACATGATTTATAAATGATACTATGTATAACCTTTTTCTTCCCAGATATTTTACACATAATTTTAGAACAAGGCATGTTTTGATAAATAAACTCTTTTTCTTAATAGGACCATTCCTAAATCAATTCTTGGATGCTGATAGAATAAGAAAAAAAAACCCACTCAAGGATGAAATAAACTTTTTCTTCTCTCTCTCCCTTTCTCCCTCTTTTTTTCTTTCTACATATTAATTTCTTTTTGGAGAAAAGTGTATTACTCCTAAAAAAAGAATTGGCTATTGATTCTCAGTTATGCTTTTGCTGCTGCTTTGAAAGTGTTAACTTACTATAGTTTTTATTTATATGCTCATTCCTGAAGGGAGGAAAAGCTAATTTGTGAGGGAGACTAAGATTAGTAGAATCTATTCAAGATTTATATATGCAGAGTATTTCAAAATAGAAAAATGTAACAAAATAGAAATCAAAGTTGATTTTTTTCTTTAGTTATTCAAAGTTTTTCATAGGTAGTGAATGACACATAAAATACAGTTACTGTTTTTTGGTGGCCTTAATATTTTTATGGAAGATTGCCTTTTGGTCTTTGTGAGTTGGCCTTATTTATGATTTAAGCTGGCACATAGGGCTGGTTTAATAGGAGTTGCGCATCAGAAGGTTGGGGGAAAGGAGTAAATGCTTTTTAAAAGATTTGACTCTTGGGGTTTCCTTTTTTCTTTTTAAAAGGGCTCCATTTTGGAAGCTTTTCAAAGTCCTGCATGCTGAGTGGGAAACTTGGAGTTCCCACTCCCTAATCCTGCTTTTAGAAGCGCCTAGGAGGGTGCATATCCTACGCTTGCAGGTAGTTGTCTTCCAGGAAAGCTCCACAGTTTGCACTATTCACTATCCACCACAGGATGCCAATCTGCTCCAGGTCCCTAATCTCTTTCTCACATAGTCTCTTGTAACCATCTACAGGGAGGAGGGGATAAATTTGAAAGAAAGGCATGGAAAAGGAGGCACAATGTAAGACCAGCCTAGCAGGCTGCCAGTTCCTGCACACTCATTCAGCCCCAGCTGCAGCCAGACTAAATTCAATGGCTAACAGGTGTTCTTGGCAGACGATGCATTAAAAAAGCTACTTAAAACAAAAATACCTAAAATTTTAACACAGAAGCTCATTGCTTTCCTTTTCTTTCTCAAGATTCTTTAAAGTTTTTTTCCCTAGTACTTCAGATACAAAGAAGAAAGTAACTGCTGAAAGGACCTCACTCAGGCCATTTGAATTGGCCATTCATTTTATCTGATTTTCGAATTAGCCCTCTGTCTATAAGCCTATGATTTATGGAATGAAATAGGCTATATATGAGCTGGGAAATTACAACTGCTTGAATCCTGTCTCTAAATACTAATTTTAGAAACTGTATATTAAAATCAATCAGAAATCAAAATTGGTAGAAAGTCTCCTAGGACTAAGTAAAATAAATAGACAATTCCTCATTGGTGTTCTGACATCTTTGTTATATAGTCATGACAATTGGGTTTTGGCAAAAAATCCCTTTCAAATATTCTGTTTCTGAATAGAATACTTATGGTTGAAGGAAGAATCACAAATTATGTGTGAGAATCCAAAATAAGATTGCTGTTTCTTTAATTTTCACTTTTGTAATTTAAAATAAATTTGTAAAAAAAATATTGTTTTGTTTTCCACAAAGTATTGTTTGAAAAAATACCTTAGGTTTTTCTTTATAAGTCTATCAGCAGAGTTCAACATTGCACCAAAAAGATAGAGCTTAATAATAAGGGGCATACTTTCCTTTCAGAAATAACAGATTATGTCATGTGTTTTCAACTTCCCTGTTATTGAGCAAAATATTTATACATGATATTACATAGTTCAATCAAATAACCTCAAACCACTCCCATAAGTTAGATGGTAATCCATGTATGATACACAGTGATTATATATTTACTAATGCCTTTGAATTTATTAGCTGCCCAACTCCAATGAGCATAAAACATTAGAAATTCACTATAAAAATCCACCCAATTTATAAACAATTGTGTTCATTTTCAGGGCAAAGTACATGGCAATCACATGTGATACAGGTATTATCAATTGACCTGGATTTATATGGTTAGGGAATTTGAACAAATAGGAAAAGTATTTTACTCTTTAATTATGTGTGACTACATGCAGGATATGACTAACTAAATTTAAACTGAAATAGATAAATATTAATTCTTCCTTCCTGCCCTATTACTTTGTGACTCTGGCTTAGAATGTTGTCTTGAAATTTGCATTTAACCTCTTTCTGCCATACCTTAATGCTGTTGCAAACTAGTGAGGAGTTACCATAGCATTTTTAGTAGAGGTTCACAAATCTGATTTCAGATGGCATCTGTAATGATCCATTACTGGTTTTCTGGTACATTTTCACAATAGCTGACTTATCAGTTGGCACATTCTGCACCAGAATTATCTGTCTCAGGTACATAGCATAAAAACAACAATAGCAGCCTAATTCAAACTTTAAATTAAAACAAATTAAATTAAAACAAATAAGACTTGTTTTAATTTAAAGTTTGAATTAGGCTGTGCGCAGTTTTTCTCCTGCCTTCTCCTGCCTCCATTCTCATGATCTGCAGTGGGCTATAAAGAATTAAAATGCTGATCAGAACTAACAGAAATATTATAGTAACGTGACAAAGACGTCCAAATTTCTCCCTTTTCAGAAGCCTTTCCTAAACACATGCTAAATCCCCTAGAAAGCTCCTAAACGATTTTGGCAGCCATTAGTCCGGCGTAAGCAGTGTAACAAGTGAACAAACAAGGAACAACATTGAATGGCTGACACAAATGCATTTCAGCTGGCGTTTTCTTTTACGCCCATAAGGGTGCAGTCAGTATCAATCACTGTTTTCTCTCCTACACTGAAATAATGGTCACTCATTCCACTGATGCTTTTCACAGCAGTAATGTACCTTTGGAAGGAAGCTTTCATGAGGCTGCTTCCTGAACTTTTAAAGTCAGCTTGAAGATTCTAGCTTTTTTTCTTTGAATTTTAATTATTTGTTTCTTTGTTTAGTTAGTTATTTATATTTCCTATTTCTTAACCAACCAATTCTCTCATATTGCTTTGGAGTGTGTGTGAGAGTGTTATACAGGTAGATTTTAAACAAGAAAGTCACTATTACAACCTGGGTTAGTTTCATTTTTCACTTATTTCTTGAACATTTAGGACTGTGTGCTGCTCAGCTTTTTAACTAAATATGTTTATTTTGGATACATAAAAGTTGTGGAATATGGAACTCTGATAGCAGAGTGCATTGCTGTTCTAATCATTTGTTGAATATTATTGCAGCTGAACTCTCTCAACTGATGTTCAGCAAAAATAGGCCAAAAGAGGACCTTCTGTTGCATTTGTGACTTCCCTGCATTTAATTCTCAGCAAATTATTCCAACAAAATTCTTTTTTAAAAAGTAATCTGTGTTTTTCTTTTTCAGATAACTGCAGTTTGTAGAGAAGCTGCTCTCCTTGCACTTCAAGAAGATATTGAGGCCAAATATATCATGAAGGGGCATTTTCAACAAGCTTTGGTTGTTGTGACTCCTAGAATTCCAGATTCCCTACAGACATTTTATGAAGAGTATCAGCAGCGGAGTGGATTGCATTCACTGTGAGAAAGTGATTAATGAACATATAGTACGCAACTTGATTTCTAGAAGATAAGTAGGGTTTTTTTCAAAGAAATGTGTTCTTTCAATTCAGATATGTAAAATGAATTTTATTAATAATTTTTGAATAAAAATAATTAGTTTTTGAATAAATACTGAAGAAGCTTTTGAAATAAAAAAATGAAGTGTTTTGAATAAAAATAAACTTGAGAACTGTGTGAAAGCATGATTGAAACATCTAATGCACACCATGATAGTGCATCATCATACCAAAAGAGGTATGTGTACATGGAATGGAGAGGAGTCGCTCAAAATCCTAGGCTTTTCACTTTGATGACACTATAGTACTACAACTTTGCCATAGCAGCACTCATTCATTTCCCCATCATCACTATCACTAACTAAAGGTTTCTTATAATCTAAATTTCCTTACCTTTTTCAGAGCTGTCATGTGCAGAGTACAAGTTGGTTTTTTTGGCTGTCCACCAAATGGCTTTTCTCAAATTATATCAGTTTAAAAGTGGATTTTAACATTGGAAATGTTAATTTCTATTCTTCTCCAGTTTATAAAGATTGTTTTGGAGCTCTATATCATGGGTGTCAAACTCGCCACATCACTTGACGTGTCGTGACGTATTGCGACTTTTTTCGCATTGCCGGACCTGGGTGGGCGTGGCCTCTGCATGATACAACCTGCCCATGGACCGGCAGTTTGACACCCCTGCTCTTTATAATTCCCTTTTTCCCCAGTATAAAAAAATTGGTATCACCAATGAACTTATGGATCATATCTAGTTTCAGATAATGCTTTAAACCACTTCAAAGAATTAGTTTTAAATGGCTTTCTAAACTATTTGTGTAATGTACCTGCAATTTTTTCTGCCTTTCTAGTTCTTTAATAAGTTATTATTCTACAAGATGGCTCTGCACATTAATTAAAAAATATTTGGAAAACATTGAATATTAATCTATCATACTGAAGATGAGGGTGTACAAAATCTTTGCTAGTCTGTGGAACAAAATAGACATAGTTTGTTAGTTTTTTCAAGATTATTCAACTGTATTAGGGATAGCTGCTGCTTACCAAAACGTATGCCAAATAAAGTTGGTTGTTTTTACATGTACTACTTGCTCATGTCTACAGCTGTTTAGTATATGAACCAGATCCCCATGATAGTTAACACTTTGTCAAATAATTCTAAAAATTTAATTTACAATTAAATTAACTATGATAATCTTTCTCCTTGAAAGATTTGTTTTTCCAGATTGTTGACAGTATTTTCAAAATAATGCTTACTACTGTTTCCACAACAATTCCACTACTTAGACAGTAATTTCTAGATCCCTTTTCCAGATATCCTTTTAAATATAATAAAGAACCAATTTAGTCAGGTGGTTAAGGCACCTGCCTAGAAATTAAGAGATTATGAGTTCTAATTCTGCCTTAGACATGAAAGTCAACTGGGTGACTTTGGGCAAGTCACTCTCTGAACCCAATAACCTCTCAGGGTTATTATGGGGAAAATAGGAGGAGGAAGCAATATTAGTTATATTAGCTACCTTGAGTTATTTATCAAAGTAACAAAGGTGAAGTATAAATAAATACAATAATAAATAAAAATTATTATGTAAACTATCCAGACTTCTAGCAATGAGACAAATTTTCTATCTTGATTTCATCAAGAAAAAAAGCACTACAAAATTAATTTGTAACTTTTTGTATTTTCTTAAGTTTAACTACCAAAGATATACAATGCTTTGTTCATAAATGACCTTTCAAACCATCATATGGAGTTGTATGCAAATTTCATATATGTCAATGTTATACATATACAAGTTGTTAGCTTCTGTTTCAGAAATATATTGAAACGCACAGTTTGATCAGATATTCTTAATTTTTTATACAACTAAATATGCTCTTCTATATTCTAACCTCTTTTATGTTTTAATAAAGTTTTATTGCAGGCTTTCAGTTATTGGATGGCATTTTATTACTAATTCAAATCCATATTTTTAACTTGTTAAACATTTGTTTTGAATTTTATTTACTTTGAATGCTCACCAAAACCAAAAAACTGGGATACAAATTAAATGAATTGATTAATAGTTATTATTTCAATACAAGAAAGAATAATAATAATAATAATAATAATAATAATAATAATAATAATAATAATAATAATAATAGAGTTGGAAGGGACCTTGTAGGTCTTCTAGTCCAGGAAACCTTATACCATTTCAGACAAATGGTTGTCCAGTCTCTTCTTATAAACTTTCTCCTTAGTTCTAGGTTGCTTCTCTCTTTGATTAGTTTCCAACCATTGCTTCTTGTCCTGCCTTCAGGTGCTTTGGAGAATAGCTTGACTCCCTCTTCTTTGTGGCAGCCCCTGAGATATTGGAAGACTGCTATCATGTTACCCCTTGTCCTTCTCTTCATTAGACTAGATATACCCAATTCTAGCAACCATTCCTTATATGTTTTAGCCTCCGGTCCCCTGATCATCTTTGTTGCTCTTCTCTGTACTCTTTCTAGAGTCTCAACATCTTTTTTTACATCATGGTGACCAAAACTGGATGCAGTATTCCAAGTGTGGCCTTACCAAGGGATTGTAAAGTGGTATTAACACTTCACGTGATCTTGATTCTAACCCTCTTGTTAATGCAGCCTAGCACTGTGTTGGCTTTTTTGGCAGCTGCAGCACACTGCTGGCTCATATTTAAGTGATTGTCCACTAGGACTCCGAGATCCCTCTCACACTTATTACTATTGAGCAAGGTACCACTTATACTATACCTGTTCATTTAGTTTTTCTTGCCTAAATGTAGAATCTTTCTTTTTTCATCATTGAATTTCATTTTGTTAGATAGCGCCCAATGTTCAAATCTGTCAAGAACCTTCTGTATCTTAAGCCTATCTTCTTGCGTGTCGGCTATTCCTGCCAGCTTGGTGTCTTATGCAAATTTGATGAGTTCCCCATCTATCCCCTCATCCAAATCACTGATGAAGATGAAGAGTACTGGGCCCAGAACAGAGCTGTGGGGCACTCCACTACACACTTCCCTCCATGTAGATGCAGTTCCATTGAGGACCACACTCTGAGTACGGCAAGTCAGCCAGCTACGAATCCATCTGGTTGTGATTCTGTCTAACACATTTTTCTATCTTATCAAGTAGTAGGTTGTGATCTACTTTATCAAATGCCTTACTGAAGTCCAAGTAAATTATATCCACAGCATTCCTCTGCTCCACTAATTTTGTCACCTGATCAAAGAATGCAATAAGATTTGTCTGTTTTTGACAAACCCATATTGGCTTTTGGTAATGACTTTGTTTGCCTCTAGGTGTTTGCTGATTCGTTGCTTGATTATCTTTTCCGGAATCTTCCCAGGTATTGAGGTCCATATTTTATGTCCATTATTTTTATAGCCTGACAATTTATAATAAGAAGACAGTTTCTGGCCTGTTAAAAGCATTTTGCAGCATATGTTATTACCAAAATGATTGCACTTTTGTTTCCTGATAATGAAGCCAAATTATAAGAATGACCATGAATTTTTCTTATATGCTGATTACTAGCCAGGGGAAAGTTTTTAGTTGTATGGGTATATTTCATCCAGCGTTCAAAAGCCAGAAAAATTGCTTTTTAAAAAATCCAGTCATCTAAGTGGATTGAGACTGAGACTCAATTTGCCAGTAAAGATGCATGTTTGATGAAAACTAATCGGAATACCCAGCATATCAGAATAATCATCTTATGCCATTTAATAAAAAAAAGTTTGTTAATTTTTTTTCATCATCTTTGTTGAACAAATGACCTATGATATTCATTTTAAAGGACTGCTCTAAAATCTGCAGTTTACTTCGTGTGTGGTTATGCCAACTTTTCTACAGTTATTAAGAGTTTCACTTGTTCACTGATTTATTTATAGTTGCATATTACTTTAATTATCAAGATGTATGATAATGTAAGTTCATATAATAGAAATAAATGTTTTAATTGCATTGTGGAATAATCAAATGTGCTCTAGATATAGTATCAGTATACGCATCACAAACTTAGGTACTTGATGCTATTTTGCTGTATGGTGAAGGTGTGTGTGAAGAGTTAGGTCTATCGAATGAAGGCAAATATACATGTCCCAGGATAATGTTGCAAGATCCAATCCGGGTCGATCACCAACACCAGAGGTTTAATCTTCCAAGCTTTCGAATTCATCCCATCCTCAGGGAACATCTCTCATATAGTCAACTCTTCCTCTCTCCCCCCCACCTCTGATGTGGATGATGCTGTTTATTATGCAAATTATTCTCAGTCCAGGTGCTGCCAAATAGATAGAACAACTAATAGATGCCAACTGAAGATTTGGATAAAATCTAGCCTCTCTTTTCCAAATATTTTTCACTACATTGCAAATATATCGTGATTTAATCATGCTGGTATTTTATGTAAATTCAGAAATTATAACTAAGCAAACAAAAAATAATCACTTTGAACATTCTCTCTCTGCAATGAAAAAATTCAGCCAACTTATTGTGTGCTTTAATTTCTTTATATTTCATTTTCAAGTCTGAAATTTCCAATATTAAAAAAGTTATTTTTAAGGTTCATTTTTTGTTACTTCTCATACTGTCCCATACATAATTTTAAGCACATCTGGGAACTTAGATGCATAAAGTTTATTAACTATACTGATTCTTTCTCTTTGTCAAAATAGAAAAATTCTATGTATGTCACCAGATTTAATTTCAGTTTGTGTTTAAAATGTAATCAAGATTAAGCAGTTCTAGAAAACTTCATTTTTCTTCAGTAAAGTTTTCTAGTCCTGCTTAATATTGCTTAACTGGGGTTATTTGCATTTAAATAGCATTGCAGTATTGAAACCAACTAGTTAGCACAGTGTGATTCTGTTTGAGGCTTTATATGTAGTTTTTTGTAAAAGTGTTTTTGGTAAGGTAAAAAATATAGTAGTAGCTGGTTAGGTATTTAACTACAAAGGAGTGTTTTATTTGCCTGAGAGATTAATAGTAAGCCAGAATCAGCTGGTAGTGCCAAGTGCCTTGATAACACAATTGACCACAGAATGCTTTGTTAGATTTTTTTCCCTCCTCTCCTCTTTTCCTAGAGAAAACTGGGAGACAATGCAATTGCTGACTTAGTAGCAATGATTTTAAGCAATTAATTATGATAAACAGTGGAGAAAATAAA